GTACTTTATATCATATTTCATAATTTTAATTTGTTCAAATTCCATTATTTTTATTATTATTATCATTATTTTATTTTATTTTATTTTATTTTTGTTGTATTTTTAAAAAAAAATAATTTTTAGGATAAAAATGAAAAATGGACAAAATCCCGTAAGAAAACGCCAGCGGGAGAGGCTCGTTTACATGGGCGCAACATGTTATGCGCGCGCAACCAGTGTAGGACATGCGCATATCCCATCCGTGCGAGGTGCGAGGCGCGAGGCCAGTCTGGGCGTGCATCCCATCGCACGCAGACAGGGCCGAGCGTCATGCCCCCTCTGCATGTGCAATCCGCGCTGTAGGTCTACACAGATAGGCCTGCATGCAGACTAGCTCCTACGCGTGGTAAGATAGGTAGGTGGTTGCAAGCTAGGCTTGCAGTGCATGCCCGGCCTGGTGAGGCACACTGCCACCTCGGGCAGTGTGTTGCCACCCCCTTGGGCGTTGTGCACCACTTTAGGCAGTGTGCTACCGCCTTAGGTGGAGAGCCACCACCAGTGGAGGATTCTTCCTCTATTTTTTGCGCTACCGTCGCGTTGTATTAAATAGCTCATCTTCCACTCAACTTTCTCCCTCCTCATCAAATTTTGCCATTTGGTACAAATCCAACGGTCCCCATTTTCTATAAATAGGGACCCCATTCTTCCATTTTTCTCATCACTTCCATTTCATTCTTCTATTTTTATATTGTTAAATATGATTTTGATTTGATTATTGTGACTAGACATGATGTTTTCTTTAATAAATAAAATTATTTTCATAAAGTAAGATAAGACCCTAACGTGACCTGATAGTAAGTATTATTGACATAATTATTCATTTTTAAAATCTTATGATGTTATTTAAATATTATTTTTCTTAATAAGTGCATGAAACTCACCCTTTCTATGTCCCCCTAGATGAGGAAGATAGTGAGGAACCAATCGCTGACCTACCCTTTAAAGTCTATGAGGATCCCGTAGATCTATAAACCTTGAGTGCATAACTTGTTCTGCACTCTAATGAGTCCAATCGTACAGTGAAAGAAGTCGTCCTTTTTTATTTTGATATTTTATATTTTCTTACCACTTCTGGCCTCAATTATATATATGTATAATTCGAACTCATATATTTTAATAAGGGATTTGTAATAATTTGCTCTGTTGCATACAATTTTTATCATGCACTCATAATTTATTTCTGTATCTGGCACCTTTATACCTTAATTAGCATTTGAGATGTCATATCCGCCACATGGCATCCATATGTGAGGACACGTGGCGGAAAAAGAAAGGGGCGATCGGTGAAGTGATGGCTGACGGGACACGTTAGTGCAACGGTCAAGGTGAAGTGACTGCGACAGGGGCTGCATGTGCGGTATAGTGCACCTGTGCTGTCAGCGTGCAGAGCGTGCAAGCACACGTGCGCACAATACTGCTGGCACACGCCACCTGTGTGATGTGATTGCGCAGGGTCTTGTGCACATGTGCGCACACAGTGTCCCTCCTATGTGCATGCGCGTAGGTGTGCAGGCACAGGAGCGTGCAGGTCTCGTGCTCGTGGGCTGCTTTCTCGCGAGCCTGGGGGATTTTTCCCCTATTTTTGTTTTTTGATTTTTCTTCAATTTTTCCCCTTTCTCTTTTTCCTAAAAATACTTTTAATTTAAAATTAAATTAAAAATAGATCATTTAAGTATAAATTCAAAATAATGATTATAAAATTAATATGAAGCAAAACACAAATAAATCCAAATACCAACAAAAATTAAATGGTCATGAGACCCAAAATAATAGAGTTTGACACTATATTTAAGTGCAAAGATTCTGAGTATTATATATAGAGCAGGCGACCCATTCCGAACTTGGTTGCCACTAAAAGAAAGCCCAAGAAAGGCAAGCGCTCGACGCACCCAAGTGCTCTACAATAGGCTCGGGTTTGGCTTCACAAAAGAAAGCCCAATAATATCTAATTAAGAAGAGTTTAAACGAAGTAAAGGGATCGTGGATCGCATCCATAAAGCCCAATCCGAAAGGGCTTTCACAAGCCCAAACCATGAAGGCCAAGGGGGACTCGTGAAATAAGAGGCCTTTATAGCCCATGGGGAAGTCAACCTAAGGTCTAGAGGCCAAGAGGGCCTTCGATGAAGGAAGATCGTGAAAGCTGCAGTCCTTGCATGCGTGTGCAGGCCAGCACATGCGTGGGAAGGGTAGCCCGCCCCCAAGGGCAACCTGCACGCATGAGGGGCAACCCGCACCTCACTTTCCTTTTCCTTTTTTGATTTAAACTCTTGTGTTTGTGTCTTCTTCAAAATTTAACCAAGATGAAGTTGAAGGAATTAAGAAACTACATAGAATAAATTTTTTGAGAAAAGGGAGACCTTAATTGAAGCACATGCGACAAAAGCCAATCCCCGAAGAGTCCTTTGTGCGGCATGAATCCTAAGACAATTAAGGATTTTGTTTCCCATATTTTCCATACTTTCATTAAGATGGTAGCAAGGAGAAGAAATATACATATGGAAGAACTCTAAGGATGAATCTAAGGAAGAGAAAAGCTACATCTATCCTTAAGTAATATTTTATTAGTTCTTTGATTTTTTATTTAATTATCTCAAGTTAAAATTAGGATAGATTATTATTTTATTAATTTTTTAAAATTATTTTAATCCAAAAAATTAGGATAAATTATGATTTAGGAAGATCTTTATTTAAATGCAAGTATTTATAATTAATTAGAACTATTTTGGTAAAAACTCATATAAAGGTCCCATCTTATGTAGTAAAAAACAATAACTTTAAGAGATAAAAAAAAAAATTGGTTTTTGCTGTTCAATTAATTTTTTCTAATTTAGAGTGTTCTTTAAAAGATGTTGCTTCAACTAGCTTGTTGGGCCATAAAATCTTGAATCAATTTATCGGATAAGTCGTGATGTATTCTCAATTTATTTTTATTTCTCAGTTACCTTGATAAGTTTTTAATATGTTGATTGTGATCCAAGTATAGAAGATTTGATTTAGGTGATTAAATTTCTGCATGCTAAATATAACAGGTTCAAGATCAAAAGTATTTTTAATCCTAGAACTCCCTGCATTATGATAAATCTCTTAAAAAATTTTCTAGACCGAGGATCCTTTTTGGGGAGTAATATCGAGGTCCATGACATTTTTGGTTGGGAAATATTCAGTTTTTAGAGTGTGGGCCCATAAACTCTCACTCTTCTTTAGAGAGCCTCATCTTAGTTTTATGAGGAAGGCCTTATATTGTGTATTTTGTATCATTCAAACCAAGTCCTTTTAGTTCCTTGGGTTAATTTACCTTCTCATTTGATTAGGTAGACTTTAATGTGGTCTATTTCTTGTCCCCCCAAATGAAATACCAAAAATATATATTCAAATACGTTATTATACATCCATATACCCCAAAAAAATGGAACAAAAATAAAAGAAACTATTAACCCATGCAATCAATTATGTTGCCTCCAAAGTACCCTTAAGAAGAAAATTGTACTATTTTAAGAGTTTTGGATTTTAATAATAAGTAAAACTAAATAATTTCAAATTAAATTAAGAGGAACATAATTATTTACCTTAATCTAATGCTGGAAATATAACACATTCAAATAGCTAAAAGTTTATGAACTAATTTTCCATCAGGTTGTTGAAGTGTCTTTCAAAAAAAAAAAAAAAAAAAAGGTCCTAAAACCTATTTAAGTATAGAAGTTGAGCTTAAGGTTTCTGCCGCATTAAGAAATTTCTAACTAGATTTTTCCTATTTAAGGGAGCGAAAACCCTAGCATCCAAAGAAGAGAATGCTCAAAAAGTCTTGTCACATTTTTCAAAACAGTTTTCTCAGAATAAATAGAAAAAGAACAAAATAGTTTAAAAGATGAGTTTTTAGAATATATTATTACTGATTAGAGTCATCACATTAAAAATTAAGACAATTATATTATTGAATTTATAAAAAAAAAATGAAAAAATTCTGTAATAAGCTAATAGATAATATTTAATAGTCAACAAAGATTTTAGATTTTCTTTCACAATAAGTAAAATCTCTTAATTTAGATAATCACAATAAATTAGAATCCCGACATAACTTTTTTATACCGAAAAAATAAAACCAAAGAACATAAACGGAAAAGACAATAAAGTAAAATTATACTAATCAAGGAAACCATGTAGTTACTCTTTTAAATTACTTCTTTTAGTTTACCAGAGATAAAGAGAAACACTTCTCAATTATTTCTATTACTCCTTTTCTTTTTCTTTTTTTTTTTCCTTAGTCCTGTTTAGGGAAAGATAGTGGTTTACAAAAAAGTCCAATTAAATCCTCATATGCATCGATATGATAACTCTTTAAGTCTCAAACGCCTTCCTCCTGTCATTTTTGAATAAGCCTTTTATTAAAGTTTGAAAAAAATTATTTGCAAAAATTACCAAGTTCTCCTTGTTAGAGGACAAACAATTCAGATTACATGCATAGATTGGTTCATAGATTGAGGATTTGTTCCCATCATTGTCTAATAGTGCATGTAAAAATCCAATAATGCCTGATACAACATCTATGCATGAAAAATATCCAAGATAAGATATTCGAGTAAAACCAACCGTGTCGTTCCCAACCCTAAAACAATCTAACACATAAAAAGGTTTACATCACCTATTCATTCTCTATCGGTTCAGTAAACTGTCCAAATTGAATGACATCAATATTCTCAAAATATTCATAAGCATATAATATCATCATAGATCATGTTTAACAGAGCCAATAAACGAGGCGATATAGATACATAGCCTAAACTATAATTGTTTATCTATTTTGCATACAACTATCTTTGCCCACGTAATTTGACAATCATACACACCCTCAAGTTTTTCTAGTCCTTTACCCCTTTTCCGACCAACATGCCCAAAAGTTTTAACAGATTGGGAAGGGGAGTGAAAGGTTAGAGTGAAAAAGAGACAGATCCCGAAGGTGAACAGACAGAATACAAACTTTAATATTAAGTAGTGACATAAACTCAAATTAAGTATTCATAAACTGAAACAATTCCTAAAAAATCACAAAGGGAAACTGTAACACTTGAACAGTAAATTTGGTCCGCCCACCAGAGCATCTGGGAAGACAGACCCTAGCAGTTTTAACTCTCTTTTGGAAAAAAAAAAAAAAAGAAAACCATTGAAAAAATAACATCTTTATAGCAACTCTCCTAACAATTATAAAGTTTGGTGGCCACCACACAAACAAGGCTGCCCAGACTGGAACAAACACCAGAAAAGCCTTTCAAGTTGCACATCCACGAGTTGGCCCAAGGATCATATGAAAAAATACTTCTTATACAAAGAACCATTTTCGCCTCTTCACGGATCATTAAAAAAAAAGCAACCCACCAATTAAATCATGCAGTGCCAGGAGTCTCTGACTTGTCTGTCTCCATTGGTTCTGTAGCAGCTGGTGCTCCCCCGCTTCCATCTGTTGCTCCCTGGTTGCTACCTCCAACATTTGCATCTCCAGCTTGCTGCTGTTGCTGCTCATTACCTTGAGGTGGTGTGGTTGCCGGTGTTTCAGGGGTTGCCGGTTTAGCTGGTTTTGGCTTTGTCATTATTGGCCTGCAGAACCTATAGAAAAGATTCCCCATCTAAGATCTTTGGCAAATGTAACCATAAGAAATATCCGGGATTACCTAAATTTAAAACAAGGAATTATATGAAATAGTTCCTTAGCTACTTACTGAGTATGGTATTTTTTTGCGAATTCAAGAGAACATATTCCTCCCACATTACTGATGCTCCATCAGTATTTAAAATTAAACAGTTAAAGAATGAGTACCTGTCCACTGATTCGGCTTTCCTTCTAACATCAGCTGACAAGAGAACAGGAGAAGAATACTTGGGAAGTAAGTCTTGCTGTTGCTTCTTCTCTCTTAACCAAGCCTCTGCTTCCACACACTCATTCAAGACCTTCCAGTGTTCAAAGAATTTTTATCTCATATCAGTAGTCAGTTTTAGGGAAAAAAAAAATTAAAAAAAAGGAAAATTTTAATCTCACAGTTCCCAGAAAAGCATAATCTAAAATCATATGCGCGCGCACAGCTGAAGATTACCTTTTGCTTCTCAGACAAATCAATGTGGTCAAATTTGGGATCATTTGACATTGCCGCCTCTCTATAGCTATTAATACAGTAAACAAGCTGATCAATCACTGATCCTCTCTCAGTATGCTCCTTGTACCGTTCTTCAATTGGGTCACCTTGCTGCAACATTTAATTCATAAGTATTATTAGAATGCAATTAAGAAATGATGCCCTGATTGTTTATTCTCTAAGGCAATAGGTAAGGCATAGACAATGAACAAAACCTTCTTGAGCTCCTCAAGCTTAGCAATGTAAACACCTTTTGTTTCATCCTCACCATCTTCATACAACCAATCTTCAACTTCCTGAAGTTTGGCGATAAATCCTTCTCTCTCTGAATCAGTAATGAATTCCTGGTATTTGTCATTAAGCTGGAAAGCCAAAAAAATTCATTAGCTCAAGAACCATGTGTTTTGGTTATAGTTTATCGAGTAAGAAACAAGTAGACAGCATCCTACTTTGTTTCTCATGTCATACACATAGGCCTCTACAGCATTTTTTCTGTCTTTGGTCTCTTCCATGATTCTATCTTGCAAAGCCATTTCGAACTCCTTTTCAACTGCCTTTTGAACATCTGCAGGCAACATTCCACCATAAACCAGCTCAGCAACTGGAACATTTGTTTTCTTTATCTTTTTCTTTGGGGCCTCAGCCTGCATGCCATCAAAATCAATACTGTAAATGCCAAATCCAAGCATAAGCTTAATCTAGTGTCAAGAACCAACTTCACCATAAATCAGTCATCTCCATAGACCATATAACAGTGCAGTAAAAGGAATTTTCCTTTTTTCCCAATAAAACATTATATGATTTTCCCAATACTGAGATCCGAATAAAATCCAAATGAGAACCTTATCACAGTTTCTTGGGAGAGCCTTATCACTTACTTCAATGTAACACACAAACAGTATTTAAAAAAAATGTAACACAAACAGTCAATAGCCAGTTACCTTTGTATCAGTCTCCATCTGCACAGGCTTGTCACCAGACTCGGGAACACCATTTTCAGAACCTGGTGTGTCAGCAGCTACTTTGGCGTCTTGCATGTTTACATCAGTTTCATTAGAACTAGGAGCAGCATCAGTAGCACCTTCATCAGTATCCATCTTACTGGCTTCTTTGGGATGTTCTTTTGTGACTGGAACTTCCACATCTTCTTCCAAAAGCTGAAACAATCACCAAAAATGTTAGAAAAGTTTCATGTTGAACATAAAAAGATCGCTTGCTCAAGTGACTAACCGTTGCCGACTCAATAGCCACAATTCCATGCAAACTGAGACGAGCCTTCACCTTCAGCTTTGCTCGTTCACCTTTTGTTGATTGGAATGGACCAATCTGCCAAGCACATACAAAATCATGTAACTGTCGTAAATTAAATATCAAAACCAGACTTGCATCTGCCAGCTTATTACTTACCGTGTATGTGCTTATCTTTGCGGGTAACTGCAATTCAGTAACATCAGAGTATTGCACATCAACAGAAAATGTGCCAGACCTATAAAATGTTAGAGCCTTGATGCTAGGTAAGGGATTTCCTTTAGGGAAGACAATGGTGCTCTGTTGATTTTCCACTGCTCCATTCTGTGCATCTGTAGCTGAACCTTTCCAAGATAAAGCAATTGAAAATGGGAAGATATCATGAACCTTCACCCAAAGTAATGGGAATTGTCAGAAATTAAACAAAAACCATTCTATATCTCAGATTTGTTAAGTTCAAAGGTCAACATAGCAATTTAAGTCTTGAGCGAAAGATAGCACAAAATGAGTAAGCACCTAATAGAAAGAACCAAAACAGACTACAGTAATAAACAATATACCACACAAATGTAAAGCAGGTATCTATGAATAACATTAGCAAGAAGCTGTTTGTCTTATGATAATGGCTTTTCCCTTGCAATCTGCAACTTATGCCAATCATGAAACCACATAATTAAAATGAGACAATCAAACGTCTATATGCGAATTCCAAAATGCACCAATTCCTTGAAGTTTTGGATTTTGGAAATAAATGCTTCAAACCCTAGTGACATAAAACACATAATGCCCATCAAGAATATTTGGTACAACCTGAAACTCAAAACCAAAAAGTTGTGCAAACCTCATTCATTTCTATTATCCACCCAACAGAAAAAGAAAAAGATCAAACAACATTACAATCATCTGCCAGTGCGACAGGAATTAGAAAAGGAACAAAATGATTCACTGGAACAGATAACCAAGATAAATATTCACCTAAATACAACTAAAAAGAAGTTTAAAAATGATCATCAAAATCTACGCAGCCACAAAAAGTGATAACAACTGAAATAATTAAACAAAAAATATAACTAACAGCATCAAATTATAAAGAAATGCACTCAACAGAAACAGATGATATTAGTAGGGAATGCAATTAACTCAAAATAAATGTTTTAGCAAAAAACAAACCAACTAGAAAATCGTAAAACTCTCACCTGGAACTCTCTTACTTTAAATGTTGGACTTAGAATAGCACATTGCAAAGCACAACCTCTAGCAACACACTCACTTGCATTCATAGTCCGCCTGGGTTCCTTACCAAAGAATTCAGTTAGAATCCTAATTATAGCAGGAACACGAGAGCCTGAGCCAACAACCTCGACCATGTGCACATTCTCAAGTGTAAGCCCAGCTTCAGAAAGAGCCTTCTCCAATGGCCTCTTTACACGTTCCAAAATTGGAACACTAATTTGCTCAAACTCATCCCGCTTAATAAAACCCCTGACGTCCTTCTCATCCATTAAGCATTCAATATTCAAAGGTGCCTCAGGGTTGGCACTAAGAACTTTCTTCAGCTTCTCACAGGCAGCTCGTAGTCTGAGACAAGCCCGGGCATTCTGGAAAACATCAATCTTATACTCATCTTTAAATTTGGCAGCAAAATGTTGGAATAGAACTTCATCGAAGTCCCTACCACCCAAAGACCGATCAAAAGAATGACCCAGTATTTTAAGCTGACCTTTCTTAAAACCAGTAATGCATACTTGCATGCTTGCATGCCCGATGTCAACGAAAGCGACATTCAATTGGTCATTTTCAGGCAAATCTGTCTTATAAATACCATACGCTAATGCTGTTGCCGTAGTTTCATGAAACAGACGCAGTGGATGCAAGCCAGCAATTGTTGCTGCATCTAGGACAGCCCTTCTCTGAAGGTCTGTAAAATATACAGGAATTCCAATGCAGCAATCCACAACTGCAGCATTCAGATTCTTCTCAGCTATGCTCTTCAGGTTTGACAACACCATTCCAGAACTTGAGTTGGTGTGAATGTCCTCATTTCCCCTAGATACCGAGCATGAATCAAAGGATATCCATCAGGACCTTCAGTGACAGCAAAGGGCAGTGATTTAAGATCTCTCTGCAACTCAGGATCAGAGAACTGCCGACCAATTAACCTTTTCATTTGGGCAATTGAGTTTTTAGGATTCATCATTGTAGAAGCAGCTCCTGCTGTCCCAATGAATCGCTGCTTATCACCAAAACATACCACGGCTGGAGTCTCACGCTTTGACTCATCATTGAGTACAACATCAATACCTCTTTGCCTGGCAACGGCAACAATGCAGCTCTCATTCCCGAAATCAAATCCAACAACGCTCATTCTCGCTCAGGAATTACCGATTTATTACTTAAATCAGTCAACTTGTAAATAAATAAAGAATAACCTGCAAAAAAAAAAAACCCAAAATAAGAGTCTTTAGCACTTTAAGGGAACTACAACTAACAACAATTTTAGGGAAGAGATGCTTCGTTTATCAGCATTTACATCAAAACTCAGATATAGTGCATTCAATCGCGCATGCATAACTAATTCCGCACCATGACACTGACTCGCATCACATTCAAAAGTAAACAGCCTAACTATCAAGATAGGCAAGTTGAAAATAAAGAAAAAACGACTCAACCTACAAAAAGAACAAATAAAACATACATTGAACAAATGAGCGCTCTAGGTGGAACATCCTTTGACACAATTCTAGACTAAATAACAGATGAACTCCATTACCATGAAAAAATCAATCCTTTTCAACAATAGAAGTATCAAATCTAAGCAATACTTACTAAAAAATAAAAATTTAAAAAGCACTAAAAACTTAGTAAAACGAAGCAAATCTACATAAACAAAATCATAAACAATATATCAATTTTTAAAAAAAAAATCACCTGAAAAATCTTCAACCTAACAAAGAATGCACCAAAAGACAGCTAAATCTAGCAATAGAAGAAAGAGACACAGTCCGAGTTGAAATCCATAAAAATACATAAACGCCACCCCAGAAATAGAAAGGGATTACCTACAGCTGA